TCACGGGCTCTAGAGCACAGGCTCAGCAATTGTGACGCACAGGCTTAGCTGCTCTGCAGTATGTGGGATTTTCCCAGACCAGGGCTCGAATCCGTGTCCCCTGCACTGGCAGGTGGATTCTTAACCACTGTGCCACCAGGGAAGTCCCCCTATAGATTCTTGCTTCTCTGCTATTTAGAGAAAACCTTTCAATATTTCTTTAAGGGTAGGTTTAGTATTGCTGAATTCTTTTAGTTTTTGCTTGTCCGAGAAATTCTTTATCTCTCCTATTCTAAATTATATTCTTGCTGGGTAGAGTTGCAGGGTTTTCCCTTTCAGGACTTTGAATATATCATGCCACTCCCTTCTGGCCTGCAAAGTTTCTGCAGAGAAATCTGCTGCTAGCCTTATGGGGGTTCCCTTGTAACTGACTGTTTTTCTCTTGCTGCCTTTAGAATCCTTACATTAAGTTTTGCCACTTTAATTATGATATATCTTGGTCTGGGTCTGTTTGTGTTCATCTTGTTTGGAACCCTCTATCCTTCCTGTACCTGAATGGATTTCATTCTTTAGGTATGGAAAGTTTTAAGCCACAATTTCTGATACATTTTTGATCTTCTCTCTTTTCTCCATCTGAAACCCGTTATGAGTTGGTTGGCACCCTTTATATTATCCCATAGTTCTCATATGGTGCTTTCATTTTTTTGTCTTTCCGTCTGCTGTTCTGATTGGATGATTTCCATTATTCTGTCAGATCACTTATTTGTCCTGTTTTATTGCTTCTAGATTGTTTTTTATCTTGGGAATTGAGTTACCTAATTTTGATTGGTTCCTGTATAGTTTCTAGTTCTGTTATAGTGATCTGCATTTCTATCTATAATCCTTTAGCATTTTTATTACCTATATTTTAAACTTGGGGTCTAGTTGGCTGGTAAAGCCTGTTTCATTATTAGTTCTTTCAGGGGATTTCTCTTGTCCTTTTAATTGGGAGTAGTTCCTCTTCTTTTTTAATTTTACTTAACTGTTTCTCCTAAATTCATAAAGTTAATCTACTGTGGTCTTGAAGGGCTGTTTTAATGTGGGAGTGTCCCTGTGTAGACTGTGTGAGTCCAGTATTTTTGATGCAAGGGCTGTTTTTGGTATGCATGCCAGCCACGTCTTTCCTCAAAGTGTACTGGCCATCATCCTCCTGATAGCGGATGTGATTGGTGGTGTGTCCAGAGCCTGAGCTGGATGTCGGGTGGGGCCTCCTCTTTGCTCCGTGGCTGTCACACACGGGGTGGGGTGTGCTCCCCAGTTGTTGGAGCAGAAGCCCAGAGGGTCAGGTTCAGTAAGGCTCCATGGCCCTTGAATGCATGCCCTGTCTCAAAGCATGTGGCTGCTGAAGCAGGTGAAGCCCACATGGTTACAGTGAACCCAGGCACCACCCACACAGGTGTCCGCACCTCTGCTCAGCAGCAGCCCACGGCCATGTCCCTTTCTCCGCTGTGTTCGTCCCAGGCCTAGCTCTAGGCTGTGATGTGGAGTGGGCTGGTGCAGGGGGCCAGGGTGCGATGACTGCAGGAATCCAGGTGCTTGTGCTGCTGCCTGGGACCTGGGCTGCCTCTGTGGTGGACCTCTTCCAGGACCTATCTGCCCCAGATCTGGCACTGAGCTGTAGTGTGGGGTGGGCGGACCTGGAGTGCTCCTGGCAGGTAGTGATCCACTGTTTATTCCTCCCCAGAGGCTGTCCACCCAAGACATTTCTGTGGTGCCACCCAGTGTGTGTGCTGACCAAGTCTGCCATGGCTGGACTGCCCCTACCATGTGAATGCTGACAGTGGACTTTGAGTTTTGGCCCAGACCACACCCCAGGCCCTCTGGACTATCTCTTTGCAGCTAGGCTGGGTCCTCTCTCAGGACTTGTCCATCCGGGATTCAGTGCCTAAGCCCTGTGTGTACTAGCAGCACCCCTCCCGGCCCTGGCAAGCGTTTTGGACTGGAAGCATGGCCAGGTGGAAGCCAGCGGTGCCCTCTCTCCTGATTGCTGGCCAGCCAGCTTGCTCACTCCTTGCAAGCAGAGTCCAGGCCCCTCTAGCCCTTCTGTCTATTCCAGCAAACCTCCCAGTAGGCAAGGGGGCCCCTCAGGGCTTGGGCCTGCCCCCGTGGACCTTCCCTCCTTCACAGATCCTTCCCAGGGGCACCGGTCCTGTCCTGATGCCTTTTCTCAGGGCTTGGGCCTGCCCCCGTGGACCTTCCCTCCTTCACAGATCCTTCCCAGGGGCACCGGTCCTGTCCTGATGCCTTTTTTTTTTTTTTTTTCTCATCCTACCTGGTTACACAGAGAACTTTCTTATATAACCAAAGCTATAAGACATCTTTCAGCTTCCAGTTGGTTTTCTGGATGAATTGTTCCAGGTGTAGATGGATTTTTGATGTGCCTCTGGGGGGAGATGAGCTCTACGTCCTTCTGCTCCGCCATCTTGATCCTCTTCTTGCATGCATTTCTATTGGAATATACCTAGGAGTGGATGTACAGGGATACAGGGTATATCTGTGTTCAACTTATTAAATACAGACTTTTAGTTTTCCATATTGGTTGTACCAGTTTACATTTCATATGCTCTCATGAGTCCTAGTCACTTCATATCCTCATCAACATTTGGCACTTTCAGTCTTTTTTAGTATTCTGATGTGTATGTAGTGGTATCTCTTTTTAAAACCTTTTATTACAGAAAATTTCAAACATATCTAAGAATAGGTATATTAGTATATAACGTTCATGTTCCCATCAACCAGTTTCAACAGTTATCAGTAAAGGACCAATCTTGTTCTATATACATCCCCACTGGACTATTTTGAAGCAAATCCTAGATAACATTGTTTTTTTTCTATAATTTCTTCCAGCATATTTCTCTAAAAGATAAGGATTTTTTTAAGAAACGTAACTGATTTGATTATCAACCTAAAAAGTTGGCAGTAAATGCTTCAATATATTGAAGTATGTTATAGACAACACGACTCTTCATTACTAACCATTAATACCTATCTCTAAAATATTCTTACTTATCCTCAGTAGCACTACCATAGACAAAAGTAACAGTAATTCCTAAATAGCATCTAATAACTGATATTTACATGTTTCCAGGTGTCTCAGCTGTCTTGTTGGTTTAAACCAGAATCCAAATAAGGGTTACACATTTGCACTCGCATTGCATTTGGTTGTTATGCATCTTCAGTCTCTTAATCTACAATAGTCTCCTCTGCCAGCCCCACCTCCCTCCCCACCCCAATGACGTTCTTTACTGGAGAAACTAGGCCAGTTGCTCTGTAGAGTGTCTCAGTTTCTGGATTTGCTCCATTCAATCTCTGCATTTTTCTATAAACTGGATTAGATCTAAAACTTCCTAAGTTTAAGATTAAACATATTTGACAAGAGTAGTTCATTGGGGTGCTGAGGATTCCGTATTCCATCACATGAGGAGGCATATATGGTCTGGTAGTCACACAACTAATGATGCTGGGCCGTGACAGCAGGGCTATGTATTTTCAGAAATGAGGGGACCTTTCAGCTCATGGCTACCTTTTATTTTAAGTGAGAATACCAGGCCCAGGAAGCTGTGAATTGTCCAAGAGGACATAGGGAGTTAGTGACTTGGCTGGGGTCAGACCCAGGAATTTGAGTCTGTACTCAGCCTCTCTCCACTATATCCTCCTACCTTCTGCTCGGATTACTTCTGTGTCTGTGTTCTTACTAACTCGGTTTTTAAACATACTGTTCAGTGATGATTGCCTAAAGTGGCCATTTACAGGAATTCCCTGGAGGTCCAGTGGTTAGGACTCCACGCTTTCACTGCGAAGGGCCCAGGTTCGAGCCCTGGTCAAGGAGCAAAGATCCCACAAGCCGCATGGCATGGCCAAAAAAAATAAAAAGTGACCATTTAAATGACAGGATCTTTGGGAAGACTAAAAATAGTATAAACAAATAAATTATAGCTCTGTATATAAGTGTATAAATTTCAAGTGGTACTTCTGTACCTTGGTTCTATGGGAAAGTTTCAACTCACATTTTTCTTTGACATACCCAATGTTCAGGTGCTATTTAACTTTCTCCTTCTGCTGAGCAGGAAGGCAATGAATTGGTATTCTCAGACTCCCAAAGCATAATGCCTAATAGATGAAAAAAAAAACAACACTAATTACTCCTGGATTATTCAAGTGTACAGTAAATATTAGGTGAACAAATGCAACAAATGCTGGCAAACCATGATGCAAATGAGTTGATCATTTTATATTAGGTAAATTGATTGCCTATAAGTGACCATTTATTAATTTTTGGAGAACTAATATTCTCTCATACTTAACACTTGGCTGAAAGACATGTAACTTTTTCATATTAGATATTAATCAGTGCTTTTTAAGATTATAGAAATGGCTTTGCCTTATAGTAAGTCCTACAAGAACTTAGGCCTTAGGATCCAGATTTTTTTCTGAGTCACAGCTTGTACCTGTGTCCTTTTCTTCCTGTCAGGAGGATGGTGTTCTCTAGCAGCTTAGAAATGGGACTGCCCAGGATGACAAAGAGCACAGAGACCCTCTTTCTGTGCAACAGGGCAAGATTTTTAAGGCCACCATGATGTGTAGAATGGCAATATTTATACTTACAGTTTCAGCCATTTAAAGGAGGTTTTCTTAGCTACATTTTAATGCTGCTGTGGGATAATTAGCATTTTCCTGAGAAAGTTTCCCCTCAACAGAGGAAAGATTTTAAGAATTGTATCAAGAGCTTAACTTCACCAGGAAATACCACAACTATACTTCAGATTTGTCATTTTATTAATAGTCATTCTTATTTTCCTTTTACTTCATTTATGTGATTTTTTAACTGCTTATGTAAGTGCTTCATTTTCTATGTCTTAAAGCTTCTAGATGTTTTAAAAATATGTTTTCATTGTGTTGAGCCGCACTGTAAGTACACTGTATTATGTTTCCTTTCGTCACAAAGAAGTACTTAGCTCATGATTTCTGTCTCTTCTCTGAAGGTCCATATCGGTTATCTTCCTAACAAGCAAGTTCTTGGCCTCAGCAAACTTGCTAGGTAAGTATGACTGTGTAGTGAATAAGATGACAGGTTTATAGGACCTGCCCCTACATGATGAGAATCTTATCAGGCTTTGTCTCTCGATCAATGTGGACCTAACTTGGAAGGTACATTCCAGCCTACTTTATAGTTGCAGAGACAATATATAGACAATAGGTATAGTCTAAGACAGACTAAGAGGACGTGAAAACACAAATGCCCTTTCCTTCTCGCTCCCCTATTGCCTGCCTGCCTTCTCCACCTCCCACCTGCACATCCTTGAAGCCTTACCTCACACTTCTCTCAGTAGAGCCTTCGCTGACTGGAGAGGACCTGAGGGTGCATTCAGTTCAGCCCCCATTCTTTAAGGGTGGTTTTAGCTAACTGCGGGGGAGAGGAAACCGGCACAGAGGTCTCACTGCACTGCTCTTTGAAGTGCGGGCCTCAACCCTGCCTTCCACTTGGGTACCTCCACACATCTCTGCATCCTGTAGGGCCAGTTGGTTCACGTCTGGCTCCGTTGCTTCTACAGACCCAAGACCATGCCTTCCTTGGCTTTTTCAGCTTTTTTCCCCCCCCCCCCCAGCTCTATTCTGAGACAATACTATTTCTTTTTCTGCTACAGTCTTTTTTCATTCTTTATCCTGTGGGTTCTGGCCTTTGCTACCATTTTTGAGTTTTAGGCAAGAGGGGCGATATATACAAGCATGGTCTCCTGTGTTTAACTAGAAGTCAAATTGAGGGTCAGTGTTCGTATATCTCTGATAGGGACAATAAAATATTGGGGACTAGACCTAAATACCCTTTTGTGTAGTGTCCTTGTATAGAGTTAGCGAGTTGTGGGTGATGGGGAAATATTGGGAGGTGTGTGTGTTAAAGGAGAGTTAAAGTGAAGGAGTAGGTAATGAAATGCCATCAAGAGTCCCCCTCCTTCTAAAAATAAACCAAGCTCAGTTTGGATAACTTGACTGAGGTGAAAGTGACCATATCAAAATTGGAATAAACATACCTTTGTGACCAGCTGTCTGCGGCCCTGTTATGTTCCTGCTTCTTCTCCACTTAGACAATCCTGAAATGATGGTCCAGATCTTTTTCATCTGTGTTGGACTCTGTCAACACCGCCCCTGCAATCTGATGCCTGCTCTCCACAGCTGTTTCTACTTTGTTTTCACTTCCACTTTCTTACTCATTTCTTCCAGGGATTAAGGAGAAAGTAGGTAGAAGAGAGAAATTTAACTTCCCTAGTTCCTGACTAGTTTCCCTAGTTTCATTCCTACTTGGCAATCTCACTACCAGACAGGACTACTTGGTAGCATGAAAGGATGTTCTTACATCATAAACATAATTGCTTCACTGCAATCAGGCTCTTAATACAAACGCAAACATGTTGGTGCCTTTCAGTGATCTGTACCCAATGGCAGTGCCAAGGAGTGGCTGAAAAATAGTATTGGTGGTGATGGGGGTAATCAACCTTATTATAATTTCTATTAGCAACCTCCTCTCTAATAACTTACTCCCAAGCAATAAAGTTATATCAGCTGAATACAAGTGTCTTTATTATAATTGGTTACTCTTACTGTTTTATAATACATAGTCTAAGATCAGCAGGCTTGCTGTGCAAACACAGCTGTAGGCTCACTCCCCTGGTTCCCTCTCTTCCAGCAAGATGGCTAATCCTCCACCTTATATAGAAATCCTGGCACTGCTCCTGCCTGTATCAGACTGCCCACGTGTGAAAGGTGTAGCATAGACAGTCTTCATATTATAAAAAGCTTGGCAGACCACACTTGGCCATGGTCTTAATGTAAGCAGTCTTCTCTAGAAGACCACACTATGTAGGCTGTGGGTAACACTTTATAGAAATGGATTCAAGAGTAATCTAGTGAGATCTTGGAAAAAGTGGTGACTTGGGGGTAGAAGGGAATAGTCTTTGGTTATTTCCTTTCCTAGTGAAAGGAAAAGCTCTCCAATAATTAAGCTTTTATGAACAATACAGAGGAGTTAATTATTAGCATGGAGATTTGTCCTTACACTAATAGGATTAAAATGTAAGAAAAAAATGGAGCAGTAAACCAAAGAACTGAACTCAGAAATTTTGTAAAAATTTTGAATAAAGGGTCTATTAAATGAAACAGGAGACTAAGATATTATCCAACTGCTTATTCCTTATAAGAAGTTGGAATATTTAGGGAATGAAGAGGAATAAATAAGGCTAAATGTCTTAGCAAAACTTCACTGCTCATTTTAATCTTGTATGTGAAGTTTGTTATATGCTTGCCTTTAAACGAATGACCTTTCAGTGCCAGGGAAGTCAAATATCAAACAGTAAAGCTTTAAGTAACAAGAAAATGCCAAAAGTGAGTTGATCTGGTTTAACTCTAGTAGAATTCTAGAGTAAATGTAGTTTGAATAGAAATTCCTTCTGTTGCTGAAAATCCATTGAACATGTATTCATTTTCTTGAATTAGAAAGTTGAGTGAACACAATTAAATCTTGAATATAGAATTGTAGTGCCTCAGGTAGCCATGGTTCAACTGTTGGCCACCTACTGTGAAAGGACAATGTGCCAGTTATCATGGCTGCTAGAGAGAAGTAGGACAGAGACACTGCCCTCAAGGAGAGTGGACAGTACTTGGCAGCAGGTGCCACAGACGTGCCTGGTTAGGAGGTCTGAGTTCAGAGAAGCCAAGATGGCTGTGGCCAGGCAGGACTGAGGAGACCCAGAGGTAGAGGGTGAACAGAATTCTGAACAGAAGAGAAATTCCTGTAGGTATAGTTAATGCATAAACAAAGGCAAATCAGAGGGTAGGAGCAAGGCATCTCCCAGTGGATGGGGAGCAGGTTGATTGATACGAGAGATTTAGGCAGAGGTGACTGAGAGATAGTTAACAAGGGTAGATTAGATCACAAAGGCAATATTAGATTACAAAGGGAACATTTTCTTGTTTCTCTATGCTACAAAAAGTAACATACCAGTTAAACTTAAATACCAGTGAGTGAGTAGAGGAAAAACTTTTCTTTCCTATTTCCATTCCCCACTAGAGATCTTTCACTATCCTTCTGGAAGATTTCAGTGCAAACACAAATATGTAGCCTTAAAACTACTAGCTAAATAAGGCGAAAGGGGATCATATCCTATATTCTGTACTACTTTTTTTAAAAAGTTACAGTACCTTGAAATTCCTTGGACATCTTTTAGTCTAAAAAAGTTCCTTTTAATGGCTACATAGTATTTCTTTAATATAATTCATTTAACCAGCCTTTGATATAAGTATAGCCTACAGTTCGAGACTACTGTCAAAAATGGGAAAAAGAAGAACTTCGGTGAACACGTCCTTATCTATTTCCTTACTCTGAGTCTGTAAGATTGGAGTAGGATTTGCTGGGTTAAGGGTAGCTAAATTTTTGATATTACCAAATTGCTCTCCAGAAAAGATCATACTGAACTATACTCTAATAATAGATTAAAGGTGTGTGTTTCTCTACCCTTTTGCCAACACTGGCAAACATTGAAGAGTGTGAAACCCAAACAGGTAAGTAAAAAATGGTACCTGTTGTTTTAATTTGCATTTAATCGGGTGAGGCTGATTTTTTTCAGGAACTTCCTGCTCTTAGTCTTTGCTAATTTTTCCATTGGGTTGCTTGTCTTTTTACTACTGATCTGTATGAGCTCTCTGAATATTAAAGCTGCAAATAATTTTCCCAGGCTTGTCATTTGTCTGTTTTCTAGTAGTATTTTTCATGAAGTTTAAAACCTATGTAACCATAAACTCATGTTTTTGGGGGTTATTTTTATGGCTTTATTTTTATATTTAGATCTTTGCTTCATCTGGAAATGTATTTTGGGGCAAGGAGTAAGGGGGAATCCATCCATTGCTGTTGTATGCTCACTGACCCCCTGTAACACCTCCACTTCCCTCACATCATCACCACGCTGCCTTCTTGCTATCCTCGCTGCCACTCTCTGGGCCTTCATGTTCCTCCTGGGTTATGTGTTAAATTCCTAACTCCTGTCCTCTCATCTCTTAGGACCCTTAAATCTGCTCTCATATGCTGCTAGGATGTTCTTTCGCAAGTGTGGATTTGACAAAAGCTATGGAGCTGCGAAGGGGCAGCATTAATAAAGTTCAAGCTTCTTACCTTAGCTGACAAGTCCCACTGTGATCTGGCTGTATTCTTGCTCTTCTTTCACTTTTTGCTCTAGCCACACTTGAGAATTTGCAGCCCAGTGTCAAGTCTAGCTTGTCAAGTTATATGAAGGCATCAGAAACACTTCGAAGGTTTGCAAGGGTTAAATTATACCATCCATGGGTTCTTCCTGCAAAAGTATCACCAGATTACTTTCCCAGTTGCCAGAGGAGGAAGAGGAGAGAAAGCATAATAATGCAAGAGAAAACAGAGGATCGAGCACAGATGTTATAAGACCAGTAAGTAGGCTATTTAAATAAGCTGTCCACTGGGTTAAATCTAGTATACAACCATGTCCCCCTTTTAAAATAATAAAATGTTAATAAAATCAAGGCAAAATTTACCAAAGGGGATAAAGTGAGTCCTCTTATTTTGAGAAGGTTGTATAATAAAAGTGGTCATGAATCTTCATCAAATGGGTTCAAAACAAAACATGAACTGGCTGAAATGCATAAAGAAACTGACAAACCTGAAAGGAGTAGGAACACTAATTACCTCTCAGTCTATGAAGTGGACAAAAAGGATATACACAGCAGAGTAACAGAATTGTGGCCAAAAGGTAAGCTTAAACTTAAAAAAATTGAACAGGCTGTTGTGTAACAAGAAAACTAGAAATTCAAGATTAAAAACCCAACTATTTAGAAGTAAAAATTTTTTAAAATTCCTTAGACATGATAAAAAATCATGATGCTAACACTATATAAATTGTATACAGTCTTTACTGCAAAGCCATTCTTTGGAACTAACACCAACCTTCCCCAAACTCTTCCAAAAGATTTAAGAGGAACCCTTCCAAACTCATTTCAAGACATTATCCTGATACCAAACCA